TGGGGGCCTCTGTAGACTGGGCATCTTCATCCTCCGAGAACCCCACCTCCTTCAGCTCCCCTTCTTCTAAATCTGAGGCTTCACTGGCAGTGGAGTGTGCTCTCTGGCAACAGAGGCTCTGGGAAGAGTCTGATGATCCCCGGGCTGGTCCCGGGAGGATCTCTGTTGTGAGCCCTGGGGTTGGTGCTGCATCCCAGCAGCCATCACTTCAGCTAGGGCCCTGGCTAAAACCTCCTGAAAACTCTCAGGTAGCTCTGGGAGGGCAGAGCAGATTTCTGGAGGTTGCAGGTGATCCCTTGCCTCTGGCGAACTTGATGCCAGCCTGGGCCTGGCTGGGCTGGAAACGCTGCGACCAAAGGGATCCCCCCTTGTTTCAGAAGAATGAGCAGGCAAAAGGGGAGGGCGAAATAGAGCTATGCCTTCTGCCTGAGCTCCTGGGGGAGCCAGGGGAGGGCGCCTGGGCCTCTGCCAGTGTAGGAAGCCTGCGGGGGGACGCGACCTGGAAGGCGATGGGCTGATGGTCGCCCTAAATCTCCTAGAGGAGGCCTGGTAACTCTGCCCCCTTTAGAATGGGTCTCCTTAGTGGATGCCCTGGGGGTACCTTTCCTGGTGGGAGACCTCCCTCTGGTGGCCTGGGAAGCTCCACTGGAAGTCCCTTCAGCTGGATCTGGGTCCTCTAGGGGTCTCGGCCCAGCACCCCCGCTGCTCCCCGCCTCCGCCATGCACTTACTATTTTTCCCGGTCATCCCTCCTTGTTCTCTGCCGGCTCAGCTGTTTAGCGCTTCTTCTTCTTCCAGATCCATGACTTGAGTGCCGGCCCGCACCGCAATCCAAGCCCCTCTGCAGATCACCGGCAGAGTGGGGGCCGCTCTAGGCCTCTTCCAGCCTCCTCGGTGCCTATTGAGCGCTCCCGGCTACCATAGATAATTGCCGGTCACGCGCTCACCTATGTGCTCAAGCGATTCAAGATGGCGACCGCCGAACTGCGGCCCGAGCCTCTCTGAAGCTGGAGAGCATTGGGGTGATCCTCTGCAGATCCCCAGTCCTCTGGAGTCCTAGTCAGGCGGCTGCAGGCCGAAGGCCTCTCCATGCACTCGGATCGGCGTGGAGGCTTCCTCCCCTCTTACGCAACCGTCCAGCTGTTTGGTGAGCACGAATGTGCTAGCAAGGCAGCAAGGTTTTCGCTAGCAGCGCAGAGCACATTTGAGGAGAGATGCAGCAATCGGAGGTTCTTGGTAAGGAAAAAAATGCTAGAAGGAAAAAAGCTTACACACACAGACAAAAAACCCCTAGTCTTCCTAGGTGAGGAAGAGTCAGGAAAAACACTCCTTCTGGGCTGGAGTCTGAGGTTAATCTGGGAGAGCAGATGGAGGATCAGAGGTGTGGCCTCAAAAGATTACCTCAGACTCCAGGGCAAAAGGGCTGGGTTAATACCCATGTGTTACTTCTCCCACACCTCACCCTAATAAATAAAACTCTACCTGGAGATGAGGTGGTAAATGAATTGTTCAAATTTTAATTATAAGGAGTGCTAAGATCTATATACAAAATTATATTTTTGTATTTTTTCTTCAACAAATAAGCATATGTATGTTAGGATATAAAATTTCATACTGATGTGGAATAAAACAGATTTACCTTTATTTTAAGGCCAGAATCACTATGAGTATGAGTCTTTGATAATTTCCTCATAATCTCAGCACCAGTTACAGGCCCAGCAGCAGGTGGGGGGCGTGTACTACTTCCTTCCAGAAGCATCGTATGTTCACTGACAGTAGCTAAAACATTTGACAAATGGAGAAATTATAAAGAGGATAAAGCTATCCAAGACAATTAGTTACTAAAATAGGTATTGCTTCACTGCCAACAAATTCTTATTAATATTGGGTATCCAAAATTCAAGAAAAATATTGAAATTTGAATCAGCACAGTCAGCTTCAATAAATATATTGGACTCTTTTTACAAGTAATTTTGATTATACAGCTTCCCTGCCAATTTACATTAATCAGATAGTCTTTGACTTATGACCATAACAGAGCCTGACATTCCCTTGACTAAACAAGGCAGCTGTTAAGTGAATTTTAGTCCCATTTTACAACTGTTTTTGCTACAGTTGTTAAGCAAATCAATGCAGTTATTAAGTGAGACATACAGTCATTGAGTGAATCCACCTTCCCCCACTGAAGTTAAACTACTGTTTCTAAGTAAAGGATTACCTGTTCTGAAAAACTTTAGAAGAGTTTTATTGGAGTGCACATATTTTATTGCACGAGTGCCCAATCCCCAGGCTGCGTCCATTATCAAGCCTTAAGCCATTGGGAACTGGGCCTCAAAGTTGCAAGCAAGTGCACGCGTATCCTCACTTGTGCAAGCAGCAGACAGCACGTTTGCACTATTTGCATAAGCAGCATGCGTGTCCTCCACTTGCACAAATGGAGCTGCTTGCCCACTGCACACATGGACCCATCCCTTCTCTCTCCACTGGTCCACAAAGTTGGGGAACTCTGTTACATTGTGTGTGTGTGTGTGTGTGTGTGTGTGTGTGTGTGTGTGTGTGTGTGTGTGTGTGATGTTTACTAGATATTTCCCAGAATAAATAATTAAATGTAATTCAACACTATTAAAAAGTTACATCAATGTATTTGTTCCTCTTTTTTTATTAAGGTGCTTTAATAGTTATGGTGTTATCTCTTTACAGACAACAGCCCAGATTTGGGTGTTCCACAGTTACTGCTTCATAGGTAACTGTAGCCTATGGCTCGGAATTCAGTTGCCCAGGTCCACTTAATACACCACCTATGGGCCAACCTGGAGGATAGTATCTCATAGCCTTAATATAACACCTTAAGCTACTAATGGAGATCATGCTTCTGACATGAACTCCTGAGTTGTCCTAACTTAATGCCATCCAAAGAGAAATTAATATTCCAAGGGACGATAAACCTTGATGGTTTTTAGTACCAGCCAAGCAACAGAATCTGGGAATTGAGGCAGGGATGTTGCTACATAATCAGCATTTGCTAACTGCCAAGGCATATATCCTACAGATCATTGGAACACACTGTATAGGCAGTTATTTATAGTCGAAATTTATAAATTCAGTCTGTAAAACAGTCTGAGTAACATATTACCATGGATAATTATTGCTACTTATAGCAATAACTGTTGAGGAATCCAGAGGCTGTTAGAGAAACAACAGGTGCAGAAGAAACATAGATAATCCTCGATTTACGACCACAATTGGGAAAATTTCCATCCTAAATCATTGCAGTAGTAATTTGTCTCAGACCTGATTTTACAACAATTTCTATAGTGATCATTAAGTAAATCACTGTAGTCATTGTGAATTCAGCTTCCCCAAGGGGATTTTTTTTTTGCTGAAAATCAGCAAAAAAAAAATGCAAATTACAAGCACATGACTGCATGACATTAAAACAAACTGTAAATGTGAGTTGGCTGTCCAGCGTCTGAATTACAATCACATCTGACTGTGCATCTGGTGTGATAGTCATGTATGAATACAGGTCATAGTCACTCTTTTTGACACCCTTGTAATTTCAATGACTTACAGCCATTTCAATAAATGGTCACAAGTCGAGGACTACCTGTATGAAAAGTCTCAGAGAGGAAGGAAAATGGAAAGATTCATACTAACTCCCATCCTCCAACTTTCTGGGCTATAAAAAGATGAATAAAAAAATGGATTTGCAAAATTCTATTCTTAGCCTATCTCAATAAAATACAATTCTAGGCTTCCTGTGGAAACTAATTTAATCTAACTTGAAAGGCAGTCACCAATTGTCTGAACAAAGTAAAATCCAATTGTTTTAAACAGAAACACAAAAAGAAAAACAAATTCATATATACAAATATTCTTTCCTCACAAGAAAACATAAATGTTATTGCAGATCTTTGTTTTTGAATATATAAATTACAATTCCCCTTAAAGTGCCCACTCAGTAGAGGTCTTTGTTTAAGTGATTGGCCAGGATTACAACTCCATATCTGTTAGCTATGCATTAATTTAAGGGACTCAATTTATCAGCTACCAGCTGCTATGTACAGATAAGGAAGGAAAAGAAACAGCAATATTTGAATAATGTAATTCAATAATGTCAGCAAAACAGTAAGTAGTAAAACTGAAGCAGTATTTTTTGAAGTTCTTCTATTTATAACATTTTCACAGCCTCCCTCCCACTTTTTAATTATTTTGATTATGAATTTTAAAATTATATTGCTTATGATACTGTAAGTACCTATATATTTCCTGTGAATTAGCTTAGAATATTACAATATTTTACAAGTACATAATTAAAGAAGAAAAAGAACTTGGAAGGAAAATCCATTTTATGCAGACAGGACAAGGTTAAATATTTTTTTAAACATATTTCTCTCCAAGAATGTGTTAAAGAGGAAAGATTACCATATGTGGATGGAATGCAAAATAAACTGATCTTAAAAATACACAGAGGGATGGAGGGACAAAGGGAAGGGGGGGTAGAGAAAGAGAAAGTATGTGAAAATGAATACAATACCTGCATCAAACTCAAATTCTGCTCCATCGGCGCTTGTGTCACTTTGAAGTCCTCCCACATTGTCCAAACCTAAACCATCTTCTTGTTCCTGTTGTACAGTTGACTGGAGTTTTATTGGCTGAGCTGGTCTGTGTAAACCTACACCTTTGAAGGCTGGGGTCACCACAATGAACTTCATCCACTGCCTTGCTAATGCAATGAGACCTTTTTTTAATGTCACCAGAGCAGGAAGGCCATCACTCTAGAATACAAACAGATACCCAGAAAATTCTAGCATCCAGGCTTCAAAACATCCAAATTTGCTTGCAAATAAATACCCCTGAGTTCTCTTATTTATTCCTACAATTTAGATTCTGGGTTTTTAAAATGTTTAAGTTATTTAACAAAGGACAAGTCCTTTCCCCTTTTTTAAGTTGTTGCCTATTTTGCTCTATTTTTATTTTTTTATTTTTCTTTTTTTCTTCCTTTCTTCCTTCCTTCCTTCCTTCCTTCCTTCCTTCCTTTCTTTAACATGTAAAAACAGTAAGTATAACACACTGGAGAACTTATCATTAAGTAATCACCTTAAGATAGAAACCTTTCTTGTGCCACAAATATTTTGAAAATTTTTGCAGCTGTTAAATTCTTCAAAATAACAGTATAACAAATTAACAATAAAATAAAATAAATTTAAAAAATTATGTTGAAATAATAAAATATTCATTTTTGTGCTTATAATAATATATTTTTACATATGTAGGGGTTTTCTGAACATGTTAACAATGCTTCTTTGTTAAGTCTCTATTCTATTTTTGTTTCTTTGGCTTCTGTTTTTCTCTGGATGCTGTCAGAGTTTGTTATTAGCAATAAACAGTTGTTATTATTATTAAATAGCCAGGTATGTCACAAGAGATTTACACAAATGTTAATAGAAATTGCAATTAGTAAATAATATTTTATAAATATAGATCACAGTGCAAAAGAACTCTCATTTTTTAGTATTTTTTTAATCAGACCATAATCTTAAGCAGTAACTTACCATGGTTGCTTCTTCAATAATGGAAAAAGTTGCTTGATGAAGATAATGGTGAAGTATATTGCACAGCAGACAGGAAGGGTTTTCTTGTAGATAACGAGATAATCTTGTGAGCTTGTTGTACTTGCTTCTCAAAGGAAAGTGTACACTTTTATTCTGAATACATTAAAAACAATAAGCTATATTAGTTCTATCACTCAATATTTATTCACAATCTAGTATTGTGGCTAATATCTACAATATATACACATGCTAAGGGTCTATTTTTACCGAAAAACTAAACACAAAATTATTTAGAACTTTATTAGTTTTTATGATCATTCTCTAATAATATTATATTGTTACTGTCTGTGTGTCTTTCAATACTAAAGGTTAAGGAATGGGATTTAAAGGGAACAACATTCTGTGCCTTATAGAGATAAGTAAATGCATTTTATAGAGGTATGATATACTTTTTCTTGCTAAATCATTTTTTAACCAGGCTGCTGGTCACCTTCTCTTTTTCTTCACTTTTCCCAGTATCTTACAGTTCTCAAGAGCCTGGTCTTTGCATAATATATTCAAACTCTTTCTCTTAATAGATACTTACTTCTAAGGCTTCTGTCATTATACATCCCATGACAGCACAAACACGCAAGGTTCCCTCTGTTTCTAATTTGTTTAAAGAAGACTTTACTTGATCAATTGGAACAAGCCAAGCCCCAATGGCTGGAGTTGCAGTACTCAGAAGATTCAGTTGCCTACAATATTAGAAAAAAGATGAATTATAAAACAGTTGTATATGCAAGGGAAATTGAACATTAGTTACATAATTTTATACATGTTTTTTAATATTCATAGTAATCCATAACTGTACAAGGAATTAATTTAAATATCGTGGGGTCCTTTGTGCTCTCTGATCTTGGTTGCTTTCTTGCAGATTTTTCATTACAAAACTAGATTAAAGTATCAGTGCATAATTTGAGTACTTTCATAGAAATATCAATCACCAACAATTTTCATTTGTACATACAGGATAGCAAAAGTAAGATTAGGAAACTACAGTATGTATAAAAAACCAATATTTTTATTATGACCATTGCAATCAAAGACAAAACTAAGATTAAAAGAGTTTAGGTAAAAATATTTAAAAGAGTAAAAGTATCACAATATGCATGGTTATACACAAAGTTAATTGCAATTACAGAGACATATTAATAATGAGGTCTTAGGGACACAAAATAGATTGAACTATTTAAGTATATAAAGATTTTTTTTAAATGTAAACTGTATCTAATAACATAAATATTCCAATCTGTAATTTTAGCCTACTATTGTTCTCATTCAGCAATAAAATTATAACCCTAAAAATGTGCCTGTCTAGGTACATAAAATATATTTTAGGTAGAAATGCCTAGTGCACATTCTCAAAATATGTTGATATCTACTCTAGATAAAAAATACACAATGAACTCCATTAAATAAATTTATATGAATTTATATGTAAAGTTCATGTAGTTTTTAGATGCTTTATATATTAGGCAATAAAATATATTACAGTCCATTGACCAAAGTTCAGGTAATATGAAATGGAATCCAACACACCTTGAAAATATATGGGCATGTGAACGAATATTTGTTGGAGCTGCAAAACTGAACCAGATTTCTTTGATTGTCAGTTTCATGCTGCAAGAATCAGGTGGGGGTGGCCTTAAAGGATTATCCTTTTTTAGTTCATCAGATTCAACCCCTTCATCCTAAACAAGAGTAATAAAGATGAAAAAGTGCAAGATTAGTCCATAGTGGATGGCTGTAGGTTTCTTAAATTTGTTGTTAAGATAGAAGCTTATTGTGTCACCTGCCCTCCCCCCCAAAAAAGCACAAGACTTTTTTAAAAATCAAAACATGAACATGCATGCAAATTACATATTTTTCCAGAAAAGGGATTCAGTTTGAAAAACAGCTTAATTTAGCAAATTGGAAAATATTTTTATTGTCACAATAGTAACAGCTAGCAATGGTCCAAAGACTATTTTAAAACTGTCTTACTTGCTCATCTGAAACTGAATTTGAACGAGTATCAGAACCAGCACTAACGCAATCACGGTGGAGAATTTCTTCAGACACATCAGTATTGTAACCACTGCCAGTGGGAGAATCTGAAGAATTATTGGATGCAAGAAATCCACCTCTGTCGGTACCTCCAGATTTACCTATATTCCCAAATGCGTTATATAATACAGCACCACATTGCCTACCACCTGTCAATATACAAACATACAAAATATCAGTTCCTTTACAATGTTTACAGTGTTATCATATATTAAAAATGTTGAAAGATCATTTACCTTTTATTGTCAGATTTTCAATTCCACATTCAAACATTATCCAGCCCCATTTTTCTTGGCTAGGCCCAATTCGTGTTACATCTTGAACTACCTGATGATCAGTTTCATCTACAAAAGAAAAATCATCCAACTCTTCCAAAGTGAAAAGAACTTTTGATTTTTCAAATGGAATGGCTGTTATTGCACAGATTCCCATATCTGCAAAGTAAAAAAATAAGACAATTTTATTGGAAAGAGGGTTTTTTCAATGAAAAACTACAGTGTACTGGACTTTCTAGAAACAACCTTTTTCCTCCAGCACTGACATGGGTATTCCATTTGCTGTGGAGCTAGGACAAGAAAAGTTCTAACTGCTTCTTGTGTTGAAATAGTTCCTTTCCAAGTTCTGGAACATTATCAAAGAAATAAAACTTGATTTTTTTTTCTCTCTTGCTGATAATCAGCTGATTTTGCTGCCAAAAGCTGGTTCTCTGGCAGTGCTACTCCCTGGATTTGAATGGGAACCCTGAAGAATGACCCAAGATGGCTTTGGATGGTTGTGGACCCACTTGGGCAGGGGTGTGAAGATTCCAGTTTCTTTGGAAGTGGTCAGAAAGTCACTGGTTGTCCATCTTTCTCTCGACAGTTCATTTTCTTAAGTATGCCTGGGTTTTAACTTCACTTTTTTAATTTTATGTTTTACTCTGTTTTTTATCTTTAAAAATTAACTGGTTGATCTAGTGCTTATTTATTTCAACCCCTGCTGGACTCTAGCTTTTTTTAAATTTCCTTTTGATGTTGTTGTCTTGAATAAGTTTCACTTTCCCAAGGAAACACACAGTGTTTTCGGACAGGGAAAATGCTTTCATTTGATTTACTCTCACCACAGGTTTTTTACATTTTTTTAAATTAGCAAAATATTTCAAGTTATTTTTTTTATTTCTCTTTTAATCTTGGATCGAAATATCCTGAAAATACCTTTGCTTCAACCTAAGCTACACAGAATAATGTATCAAATTATGACAAGCAAGAGTGGATGATGTCTGGAAAAAAAACTTTTTGGTAACATACAATTCTTAGTTGAAAGCTTTTTTAAAAAGTCTGATGAATTGATAAAAGCTGTGGAAAATATTCAGATGCATGTAGCTCTGGATAAATTAGATTCACAAAGGAAATGTGATTTGAAAGCTACAGATTCATTGGAAAGAGATATGGGTTATATAGACATAGAAGTGAGTGAACTGATTGCATACACTTCTCTGAAGTAAAAGCCTGCAGTCTTATAATAGCAGAAGCCTGAGTAAATGGAGAAGTGACAAATTGGTTTTCCCCAGAGGACTGGAGAAGATTGAGAAATGGATTTATCACAATTAATTGGAAACCACTTTCATCTGAACATTGTTGGGAAGAAAGACAGATTGTAAAAATTGGAATTTATTATATTTAATTAGACAACAATTATTACTTGTTCATATTGTTAATATTAATTAATTGGTATTAGGAAACAAACATGGATATTTGATCCAGGATTAACTCTTGGGATGAGATTTAAGAATAATTGGGATAAAGTGCCATGATAAATTTGCTAAAAGTTCTAAAAGTTGATTGTAATAACAGTTTTGTTGTTTGGTTTTGAAACTTTAACTTTGTCTTTTTATTATTATTGTTTTTCCTATTAATTATTTTGTCATTAATATAGTATAAAGATGACAGGTCAATAATCTGCAAATAGATTTTGTAGTTTAAAAATTTGGGGGGGTCTGTTTCACAAGGAAAACAATATTTTAGTAATGTATTAATAAGTATTCAACTGGGGGGATAATGCTGTATATGTATATATGTTGGATCTCTTTTTTTCTTTAATGCACCTTTTTTAAATGTCTTGTTCTGTATTTTTTTTTTAATTTTGGAGTTTTGTATTTTAACTTTTCTCAACTAAAATAAAAAGCGGGGGGGGGGAGAAATCCTTCCATATATATATATTCAAGCCTTAATAAGATATATTCTAGTCTTAATAAGATTTTTGTATTGAAGCACTGCCAAACTAGCATTACAAAAAGGCTTACCTGAAGTATCTAAGCCTCTGAGTTGCCCATGAATACGATGAATATTAAGTTTAGCTGCAATTTCTTTTCCTTTTTCTGCTCCAGCATTTGATCGTAGAGAGCCAGAGGATTGGGGCTGCATTTTATTGGAATGGACATACTTCTCAAAAGTTACAGAACCTCTCCTAGTTTCTGTACTATTTGTATTCTCTTCAACCACACCTCTTTTAATTTAAAAAAAAAAGAAAGAAATATTTGAGACATCTTAGAAAATGCAGTTTCCTGAATCAATAATTTAATACATATGCATAACTGAAGGCATTTGTTACTCATTTACATTATAAATCTGCCCCATATCATTTAACAAAAAGATTTTAAAAATGTATTATACAGACAAAATCTGGATTACAGGGACCTCATGGAGATGAAGAAGAGTCCTGAAGCAATGATTTTGTCACACTCTTAAATCTCCTATTAAAAATGTAACTATGACTTATTAAAAATGTTGCCTTACCTGTTCATACGGACTTGTGTGGCAATCCTGTCAAAGCACAAAGCCACTAAAGAAACATGAGTTACATTTTTGGCTGTGGCTGTCCCCGATGATTCTTCAATTGATGCTTGAAGTAAGCATAAATTTACCTAAAAAAGTTATCCCATAGATTAAGAAGAGACATACAAATCAAGTGCTTTTATTCCATTCAATAAAAATTTTCCAAAATTTCAAGAAAGCATGAGCACCGCTTTATCTAAAGAAATGCTATGAACATTCATGTTGCACATTTTGCCATTGAATTAGGATAAGCACAATTGATATATTATGGGAGATTGGTATATTATTGAAAGTACAACTAGTATTTGGGTAAAAGCATCCTCAACATCCTTTGTATTCAATTATGATCAGCCATGAAATTCTTTTCTACACTGTTGCATGGAACCAGTATGGCCCTATTCTTTACTAGAAATAAAATGATCCAGACTCATGCATAATTTCTTTATTTAGTCATAAACATCTTGAATCTTTGTAACTGTTACTTTGGACCCAGTAGTACCTTGACATCTAATCACTTTCCTGGATAAATACTCACAGTCTGGGAAAGAAATGTACCTGTATTTGAAATTGGCAAATGAACCAGTGCCTTAGTTGTTGTTCCAACTAATACATTATGTACAGGTAGTCCTCAACTTACAACAGTTCATTTAGTGACCGTTCAAAGTTACAATGACACTGAAAAAGTGACTTATAACCAATTTCACAGTTGCCGCCATAGCAACACCTCCATGATCATGTGATCAAAATTCAGATGCTTAGCAACTGGTTCATACTTATGACTATTGCTGTGTCCCAAGGCCATGTGATCCCCTTTTGCAACCTTCTGACAAGCAAAGTCAATGGGGAAGCCAGATTCACTTAACAAATGGGTTACTAATGGGTGATTCACTTACCAATTGAGGCAAGAAAGGTCTTAAAATGGAGCAAAACTCATTTAACGGATGTCTCACTTAACAAAAGAAATTTTGGGCTTTGAAGGAATCCATACCAAGGCTGATTAACATTTTCCCACTGGGCAGTTTTGACATTGATACAGCTAATACAATAACAATGGCCATGATACATAGCTTCAAATAATTTCATGCCTATACTTCTCTTCAACATATTAGTGTTCTTTTCTTAGGATCCAGACTAGGTAGTCATCTTTTTAAATAACGAAGATGTCAGAAACCTGGATCCTCCACCTAGCCCAAATCTGCACAAAATGATGCTTTCGTTCTTTCAACCTGCTTATATTCAAGACAATTCTTGCTAAGCTCTAGTGCATTTTTCAAGGCTACTGGGTCAAACTGTTAATTACCTTAGGTACTGTAACATTGGCTTGTAGGCCTTTAATAGTCACATTGTCTTGTTTAAGAGAAACATTCGCTTGCGTCTTTACTTGAGTTGTTCCAGTAGCCGGGGTTTCAATTTTTGTTCCTCTCACATCCTGTTTAGAAGACAGCTTTAAAACAGAAGAACAATAGTACATGTTGCAATTAAGATTTAAAGAAGATATGTTCAACTGCTTTGGATTAAGTGTTATATTTGGCCTAGGACTGACATGCCTTGTTCCAAAAATTAGAGAAGGGAACAATAAAATCTAAAAGAACTTAAATTTAATTTAAAGTTACAGTTCTACTGCTTCAAAATAGCATCATGTCTTTTATTCTACCCTTTCATCCAACAGCAATAGAAATAAGCACCACCACATATACGCCAAATTCAAGAAGTCCTAATTCTTTTAGACAATAGAATATTTTAAATGTAATTTGATAAATCTTCCATTTTGTTTCATATTCTCTCCCCCATCCATCCCTTTTCTCTCTGGAACCCACATATTATTTTTACCTGTTTCTCCATTTTGGCAGTTAAGGGTTTGTTGGTTTGTTTGTTTTTGCTAATAGGGAGAATGATGAGAACTGAATTTTCAAGCAAATATTTTTTGTACTGAAGTCCAAAAATATAAAAATATTTTTCCTTACTTGTGTAAAACATTTACTTATACTATAGCATTTACTAAATGGAGTAAATATAATGTATTCCTCTTCCACCCCATCTCCTGAAGCAAGGCTTTACTTTCCCTCTCACCTATAATCTTTGAGGACTAAATATATAACGTGATTATTCTGTTGTTGTTCAATACGCCAAATAAGAAAAAAAAGCCAAAGCATATTTGGTGAGGCAAAAAGCTGCATGGAAATAATAAACCTTTGCCATAATCAGAAATTTAATTAGATAATTATACGTACATTTTCTGAAAATGTTGTTTTTTTATTCTGGACAGCTTCTCTGAGAACCTTACAATGCAAATCATCCACAATGGCTGCTGCATGACGTGTGCTTGCACAGTGCACCATTGCTTCTATATACCTATAGGAAAAGTTAGTCCAAAATATATGTTGGAAGCAGGCTTCAAGCAAGATTTTATTTACTTGTATCTTTATAAAAGGCTTGAGAAAAATATAGCCAAATTAACTTATGTCTAAAACTTTAAAGATATTTATAATAAATGCATCTGTAAAATTTATTTTTTCAAATGATTACATTTGCACATGTGATGGGGCAGTGGTTAGAATGCAGTACTGCAGGTTACTTCTGCTGATTGCTGGCTGCCAGCAGTTCAGCAGTTCAATCCTGACCGGCTCAAGGTTGATTCAGCCTTCCATCCTTCCGAGTTGGGTAAAATGAGGATCCACACTGTTGTGGGCAATATGCTAATTCTGTAAACAGCTTAGAGAGGTTTGTAAAAGCACTGTGAAGCAGTATATAAGTCTAAGTGCTATTACTATTGCTATTAAGTTTTCTTCATAAGCTAAAAAAGCTGTTTTAAATTTCAATGTCCAATGTTTTAATATTGTTAAACTTATAATAGTCTATATTGCTATTAATAATCCGTAAACCATCCGGATTCGCTTGATAGCTAGAAGGGCAACATATAAATTTAATAAATAAATAAGCAGGTAGCAGAATTTTTAGGATCTGTCAATGTAGGGGAAACCCAATATTTTTATTTATTATTAAATTTGTCTGCTGCCTGATCTCCCAATGGCTTTGGTAGCTCATACTAAAAACGTTAAAAAGTTAATTTGTGAAAACAGAATTATATCAATCAATGAACTGGTATAACCCCAAATGCCAGTTTCTTTGTTTTATCAAAGTATACTCTGTATTCTTTTGTTCCTCTTAACCTTAACCAATCATATGGAATTAAGAAAAAGATTATATGTATTAGGACATCAAATCAGTTTGGGATTTATTAAAGTGTACCTGTCAGCCTCTGCTTTGTTGCTGCTTCGGCTGCCATTGAAACGGGGAGGGGGGGCATGGTATTTGGGAGGGGACTCATTGTTGTGCTGGAGGAAGATTCTAGACGCTGATCTGACCATCTTACTGCGCATGTGGAGGAAGGGAGTTTCCCACCAAGGCTAACTGTCCAGCATTCCATTCTGGTGATGACTTTTGAAGTTATCTCCCACTTGACAGTTGGGTG